TGTCCGCTAATACCCAACTGCCCTACGATCCAATCCAAATAGACGGAGAGGAACGGATCTTCTTCCATTTGTTTTTACTGGACAGAATCACAGAATCAAAGGTAGGCGGGTATAAACAGACACAAGTTCGTTTACACCTGCTGGTCCATAGGGGTGAATGGGCCGTCCAATCAGGTCTGCATGAAGAACTGACAGGCGGACTTGATCAGAATGGTTGAATGAAAGGGGCCTTAATCTAATAATGAACAAATAACATTTACACATTCGCTATTCTTTTCATTGTATTTCATTAGTATGAATGAGTACACCAGACTATACAAAAAAGGGTCAACCTGTGGGTAACTATATATACCGGTATTTGTCCCTGTGACTGGCATGTGTTGATAAAAGCAGGATGGTCGGTAAAATTAAATTTTCCACAGAATAGCCATATTTATCCAAATGGAAACTCTCAGTTTTGCTAATTAAGCTATTTACAATGATTTACAATAGAAAAAAAGAAAATGTTTTTCCTTTATTGAAAGGGTTTTTTGTAAGGATAATTTGGGGTAGTTTAGTTTATTTAGTGTTTTTATTATCATTAAAGTGTTCTTTATGTGCAGTATATATTATTGTATTATTATATTATTATAGTATATAGTATAGTATTATAGTATTATATAGTATCGTGTACTGTCAGTTTAAAATATTTATGTTACTTTTTATCTCTGTTTTTTTCTTTCACTTAAAAAAGTAAAATAGGGAAGTTATTGAGTGGATACGTTTTAGTAAATGAAAGGATCCAGGTTAGCTGATAGAGCTTCCATAACCCTCAGGAGCCATTTTAAGCCAATTTCAGTGGGAAAAAAACACCTTAATTTCACTTTGCCTGTTGACACCAAGGCATTTCACTAGAACAGTGAAATTTTGCTGGAAACTGAAAACTTTAAATTTAGCATATCCCTGTAATCCTCCTCAATCTCCTTTCTCTTTGTAAAACACTGGTATGTACTGTGTATGTGTATATATATATATATATATATAGTCATGTCCAAAAATATTGGCACCCCTGTATTTCAGATAATGCACCACTTCGCCCAAAAATTGTTACAATTTTCATGTTTATTTATTTTATTTGTATTGGTATGACATAAAAAAGTGGAGAAACAAAAATCCAAATCTGACACATTCCACACAAAACCCCCCAAAATGGACTAGACAAAATTATTGGCATGCTCAATTTAATATTTGGTAGTAAGCCCCTTGGAAAAAATAACTGAAATCAAGCTCTTCCTGTAACCATCAATGAGTTTCTTATACCTCTCTAGAATTTTGGACCACTCTTCTTTCGCCAACTGCTCCAGGTCTCTCAGATTGGAAGAGCTCCTTTTCCCAACTGCTGTTTTGAGATCACTGTACTGGTGCTCTAGGGGATTGAGATCTGGAATCATTACTGGCCAGTTCAGTACTCTCCAGCACTTTGTCTTAAACCATTTCTGGGTGCTTTTTGATGTGTGCTTTGGGTCATTGTCCTGCTGTAAGACCCATGACCTCTGACGAAGACCCAAGTTTCTGACATTGAGCCCTACATTGCACCCCAGAATTCTTTAGTAGTCTTCAGATTTCATAATGCCATGCACACGGTCAAAATATCCAGTGCCTGAAGCAGCAAAGCAACCCCAAAACATCAATGAACCTCCACCACTTTAGGGACTGTATTGTTTTCTTTAAAGGTCTCATTTCTTTTTCTGAAAACAGTAGAATGATGGGCTTTTCCAAAAAGCTATAATTTAGTCTTGTCTGTTCACAACACATTCTTCCAAAAACAATTTTGGCTTCCTCAAGTAAATTTTGGCAAAATGTTGGCAAGCTCCAATCTGGCTTTTTTATGTTTCTGTGTCAGCAGTGGTGTCCTCCTGAGTCTCCTACCATGGCGTCCCTTCTCATTCAAATGGCAACGTATAATGTGAGATGAAATGAAAACGAGAAGCGCACCAACCAACCTCAGTAACCAAAATGTATTAATTGTAAAAAATATACTCACAAACAGCGAATGAAATCAGGCATGTAAGTCCTCAAAGGGACTTGAAGATAGTGTGAATCCCATCAAGGGAATGGGTGTTCAGTATAGCTGATGCATTTCGAAGGGAGTCCCTTCTTCATCAGAGCTCTCCCCTTTGAGGACTTACATGCCTGATTTCATTCACTGTTTGTGAGTATATATTTTTTACAATTAATACATTTTGGTTACTGAGGTAATGCGCAAGGTTGGTGCGCTTCTCGTTTTCATTTCATTCTGCAGTATTGGTCGGGCTTTCCCCAGCCTTGTTTTGGAGCCGCACAGCCCTTTATGCATTGGACGATTTCTCCAGGCCTGGTTTCATCTATTCGCCACTTGTCTGGGTCCTAGAGCGCAGGAGAATTTGTCTTTGATTTACTGTAACGTATAATGTGAGCTGACACAGGTGTACCCTGTGCCTGAAGGTCAGCTTGAATTTGGAAGTTGATCGAGGTTCTTTAGCCACCATTCGAACAATCCTTCCTTGCAATCTTTGATCAATTTTTCTGTTTTGTCCATGTCCAGGGAGATTAGCTACAATGCCATGGGCTGTAAACTTCTTGACAATATTGTGCACAGTGGACACAGAAACATTAAGATCTCTGGAGATGGACTTGTAACCTTGAGATTGTCCATGATTTTCCACAATTTTTGTTCTCAAATCCTCAGACAATTATTTGCTGCTCTTTCTTTTCTCCATGCTCCATGTGGCACACAGACATGCAGCAGAAAGGTTGAGTCAAGTTTAAACCATTTTAACTGGTTGCGGTGTGATTTCTACATTGTCAGCACCTGTTAATTAGTGCAGGTGAGTTAAATTACAAATTACAGGAGCATCACATGTGTGTGGAATGTGTCAGATTAGCTTTTTGTTTCTCCACTTTTTCCTGCCATACCAATGCAAACAAATGAAATAAACTTGAGAATGCCTAAACATAATTGTAATTGAAACATTTTCTGTGGTGCATTATCTGACAGAAATGCAGGGATGCCAATATTTTTGGCCATGACTGTATATATATATATATATATATATGTGTGTGTGTGTGTGTATACATATTTAATTGGATATTTTTTGTGGGTGAGCACTTGAGCATTTACCTCACATATAGACCCTTGAAATAACTTTCTGGTCTCAGGCAACCCTACTATAAATGACTATATCTACAACTATTGTTACATTAGTGTGATGGTCAGTGGGAAGAATGCTCCTTACAGTTGTGATCATTAGGAAGATTCACCCCCTTACAGATAGCTAAAAAGATGGTAGTGTGGGAGGCACTGGGAGCAAAGTCACTGTGTACACTCAGTAAGCAGGGCAGCTGCAGAGTGATCATAGCGGGTAATACAGCTCAACTCCGGGCAGCCTGAGAGTGTGGAGCGATCTGCACTCCACTCCACCTCTCCCTGCAGCCAGAAAGCTAATTTTGGTGGCAGCCACCAGTTAACTCACTGTGTATCAGAGGTGCAGATTGATTGTGTGGGTACCTAGCCTGTCCAATTCCTGACTGACTGCTGACTGTGCTTACTGCAGTGCTACTGTTCGCTGTTGTCTGACTCTGTGGAGATGTGTTTGGGTAAAAGACAATGCTGCTGATTGGGACTGTGCTGTGCCTGTGGCTGTAAAAGACAATGCTGCTGATTGGGACTGTGCTGTGCCTGTGGCTGTCGTCTTTGTTGGATATGGGTGATGTCCTTTTGCTGCATTAAGCTGTCTCTTTGCTGGATATGGGAGTGTCTCTTTGCTGGGTTAAGCTGTCTCTTTGCTGGATTTGGGGGATGTCTCTTTGCTGGATTAAGCTGTCTCTTTGCTGGATATGAGGATATCTTTTTGCTGGATATGGGGTGTCTCTTTGCTGGATTAAGTTGTCTCTTTGCTGGATATGGGGGATGTCTCTTTGCTGGATTAAGCTGTCTCATTGCTGGATATGGGGGATGTCTCTTTGACAGATTAAGCTTTCTCTTTGCTGGATATGGGGATATTTATTTGCTGGATATGAGACTGTCTCTTTTCTGGATATGAGACTGTCTCTTGCTGGATATGGGGGATGTCTGTTTGCTGAATTCGGCTGTCTCTTTGCTGGATATGTGGGATGTCTCTTTGCTGGATTAAGCTGTCTCTTTGCTGGATATGGGGGATGTCTCTTTGAAGGATAAATCTGTCTCTTTGCTGGATATGGGGATATATCTTTGCTGGATTAAGTTGTCTCTTTGTTGGATATGGGGGACGTATCTTTGCTGGATTAAGCTGTCTTTTTGCTGGATATGGGGCATGTCTCTTTGATGGATTAAGCTGTCTCTTTCCAGATATGTTAGATATGGGGGATGTCTCTTTGCGCATATGGGGGATGTCTCTTTCTGGATATGGGAATGTCACTTGCTGCAACTGGGGCTGTCTCTTGCTGAAAATGGGGGATGTCTCTTAGCTAAATATGGGGATATCTTTTTGCCAGATATGGGAGATGTCTCTGATGTGAGAAGCAAGGAGAGAAGCAGAGAAGATACATTCAGCATGACTAGGGAGTTTAAATAGTCTGGAAGTGCCTCTGAGCTTACTTTAGTAAGGGCTGCATATTTCAGATATTTTGTACATTTAACTACATCGCTTTTTAATTCCATACACATTACTTGTATAACCCCCCAAGCTTACTTGGTTCCCTGTTCTCTAAAGGGCAGCCAGTACTAGGAGGTTTGTAGAGGTGAAGTAAAGGGGTAGTTCTGGGAGGCGTTTATAGGGACAGTGCAGAGGCGGAGACCAGAGTGATCTAGGGGAGGAAGGAGAGTTCCTGCACCTTTTCTCTGTGAAAAAAATCCCTGTATGTGTATGTATATATATATATATATATATATATATATATACACACTATATTGCCAAAAATATTGGGACACTCCTCCAAATCATTGAATTTAGGTGTTCTAATTGCCTCCATGGCCATGGGTATAAAAAACCAATCACCTAGGCATGCACACTGCTTCTACAAACATTTGTGAAAGAATGGAGCTCAGTGAATTCAAGTGTGGTACCATGATAGGTTTGTCACCTGTGCAATAAGTCCATCCGTGACATTTCCTGGCTACTAAATATTCCACAGTCAACTGTTAGTGGGATTATAACAAAGTGGAAGCAACTGGGAACAACAGCAACTCAGCCTTAAAGTGATAGGCCACATAAAATGATAGAGCGGGGTCAGCGCATGATGATGTATACAGTGCGCAGAAGCCACCAACTGTCTGCAGAGTCAATAGCTGTGACCAATCATGCTTCTCTGTCTGGCAATCCAATGGACATGTCTGGGTTTGGCAGTTGCCAAGAGAACGGTACTTGCCTGACTGCATTGTGTCAAGTGTAAAGAGGACCGTGAGTATGCTTCTGACGATGCTTGAGGCTGACAGCAGACAAGAGTCACCCTGCTGGCAGAAAAAGAAAGATGGGAGCAGTGTCCCAAGTGACTCCAGAGACTTGACAGTATAGATGAGGATGAACACCGCTCAAACTGATCCCCAGGAGTCAGAGAGTAACAGGATGTAGTGGGGTGGCCTCAGTCATCACTCTTATCATGCCCTCTGATGCTGAGGCCATCCCACTACATCCTGTTCCTCTCTGACTCCTGGGGATCAGTTTGAGTGGTGTTCATCCTCATCTATAGTGCCAAGTGTAAAGTTTTGGGGGGGGGGGATTATTACGTAGGGTTGCTTTTCAGTGGTTGGGCTTGGCCCCTTAGTTCCAGTGAAGGGAACTCTTAAGGCATCAGCATACCAAGACATTTTAGACAATTTCATGCTCCCAACTGTGTGGGAACAGTTTGGGGATGGCCCCATCCTGTTCCAACATGACTGCGCCCCAGTACATAAAGCAAGGTCCATAAAGACATGGATGAGCAAGTTTTGGTTGGATGAACATGTCTGGCCTGCACAAAGTCCTGACCTCAACCCAATAGAACACCTTTGGGATGAATTAGAGTGGAGACTGCAAGCCAGGCCTTCTCATCCAACATCAGTGCCTGACCTCACAAATGCACTTCTGGAAGAATGGTCTATTGCCAGAGACATTTATGTGAGACTGCTGTGTTAACATAGAATTCCATGTTAGACTGCTATTTATCACAGATATTTATGTGAGATTGCTATGTTGCCATAAACAGCTGGAACTGCCTCTCATTCATCTGTGGGCTGGTCACATGACCTGTGATATCACTTGCAAGGAGGATGGCTTGGAATGGATGTCTGTAAATATACTGCACATGGTTCGGTGTTTCCCCCGCAAAACTCTTCATCTCTGTGAAGGTAAACAGTGACACATATGTCCTACCGGTCTCCCACCAAGCCCAGCAATCCCTAATATGTGTAGGTGGTCAGAGAAGGTAACACTCTCCACTAAGTTACAAAGCAGGGGAACCTATTTGGATTTGAAGAATTGGAGCTGTCTCAGCTCCCCTATTAATCCGGATCTCATTAAATGCCCATGTAAACGCATGTAACGCCGGAACATTTTACAGAGGAAATACAATGGTTTTAAATGGTATTCCATAAGGAGAGCTTTGATTAAAACATCTGTTCTGTATTGAATACTGTTCAGATCTACTTCTTGGCTCGCTCTGCTGCAATCTCAGAACAACCCTGAGCACTATAATTTTCTAACTAGAAAAATACATCTTAATATCCAGCATAGACTGTTATTCTCATTCTCCTCTGTGCCTGAAAGCATCATTGTGGTGGTTGAATAAAAGCAACTCTGGGCAACAGGTAAAACCATCCAATGAGCTGTAACATTATTGTGGAAACATTGCACACATGCTTAAAGTATGTCTAACCCCTCGCCTTTCATTTCATTGTTTACTATATCCCTGATAGTTATACTTTGCTTTTGAAACTTTCATTTATGTTTTTCCAGTTCCTATCACAGAGAACATCTTTATGGCAGTATCTGCTGACTTCAGATGTGGTTTAGAGATTACAAGTCCCATTATACTTTGCACTATGTGTGTAGAGGGCAGGCCTTATGGAGGAGATACTCCCAGGAATTCATAAAGACTGGCACAGATTTTGTGAAAGTGTCTCTCATGTGTTGTAAAAGTGGTGACTAATGTGCCAAATTCAGGTACCTGTCTAGAACTTGTACTTGAATTTGGTTTATGGTGCGCCACTGTTAGAATGCACTCGAGGCACTCTCACAAAAAATGTCTGAGCCAGTTTTTCTCTCTGAATGCCAAAAGAGAATTGGTCTCAATTATCTTCACTTTTCATTTTACACATTTAATGCGACACAATGTAAAAGTGGCATATCTAAGAACTACCTGAATTTGGTGAATGGGTCGCTGTCAGAACTAAGAGTGTCGCAAATGCTTCATGAATTTGGTGCAATACAGTAAGAAGAGGGATTAATAATAAAGAAGTGGCACAGCCGCTTTATTGAACTCCCAACAGTGTTTCTGTGTCTGTATGTGTCAGTGCATGCTGTGTCAACATGCAACTGAGGGTGACAACATTATTCACAGAGGAGTTGAGGAAGAATTTAACCAGTTGTGGACAGCGTAATGTAGCTTTACTGTAGGGTGTAGCTTTAGTGTAGGGTGCCCCCCAAATTCCATTTGGGTCTAGGGTAGATTTTAACCCATGAAAAAAAAAGAAGAAAAAAAAACTGCGCCCCCTCCTAAAATCCATAACAGTCCCTTATACAAGCATGCAGAATGGCTGGCCAGGAAAGGGGTGACTAGTGCATGGTTTTCCCTCTAAACTATACCAGTCCACATTCCCTCAGCATGGGGAAGATACCAAGGCAAGGAGGACTACCCTGGCAAAGCACCTTGTCTTCATGTTGAGGAAGATTAGGGCCTCTCACCTACAAGCCTGGCTTGGTTGTTGTAGGGGTCTACGAGCAGGGGGCTTATTGTAATCTGTAACTTTTCATTAAAAATAGGTTGGCCCCAAATGCCCCCTCACATAAATGAGTAGTCCTTCTTATTACACAAAAAATAATAAAAATAAACACAATTTTTGACAAATCCTATAAAAAAAAAAACAAAAAACGTCGCTGTAAATTCATCATCAGTCATGCTGTCCAGAAATATAGCGTATGCCAATCATGATGAACGATGTCTGCCAACCAGCTGAAACAAAAAACATCTTGACATGTTTGCACCTGCCGACTATCGCATGCTAATGACAGCTCCTGAGCTGAAGTAATGTAAACTTCTGAACTGTGAACTTTTGTACCAGGTGCCTCTCCATACACATTCAAGCCTTTAAATACATATCACGCATACATTAAAGCCTATGTATAGCCAGAACTTTTTTTTTCAGTTTTAGATAGAGTAGGTAAGGGTGAAAATCTCTGTCTCTATATTTATTGCTGTGTTTGTCCTGCTTAGAACATTTACCTTTACTTCCTGCCACGGAGGTGCAATAGAAAGTAAGAGGAATTCTATGCAAGAGGAGTCATCAGAAAAGGTGTTTCTTCTGGAAGGTTTCCTCTTACCTCAGGTTCCAGTAACAACTGAAAAAGCTTGGATTTTCCATCCATTAAAAAAGATCAAACCAAGGTTCTATTCTACCGTGAATCAAAATGAGACTCTCTCTTCAGAGATCATTTAATAATGAAGAAATATGCATGTTCCCCAGACTTAACAGAACATGGACACATCTAGGGACAAATAAGTAATGGATCATGGTGAGGCTGTAAAGAGTTTAAAGTTAACTCTGCTTTCTCCAGTAATTATGTAAACAACTGCCATACCTAAACTTCCACTTTAATACCATAGTCAACTGGTGAGGTGGAAAACAATGTAACAACAAAGTATCCCTTATTTTAATAGAGTTCCAAATTTCAAACTTTCAACCCATGAGAACATGGTGACACCAAATATCCTTGGTTTGGGTACAAATGTATTTAGTTAAAGGGTAAGTTCACCTTTGGACCATGTTACATGTTCCACCTGCAGCCGCTGCCCGATCTCCCCTTCCCTGTGACAGCAGTACGGGGAGAAGTTACGAGCACATAGATTAAACTGAGTCTGCTGGAGACCCGCATGGTACCATCTAATCGCTAGTGTAATGCTTTACAGGATCAAAAAAAAAAATAATAATTTCACATTTTTTTTACCTGCAAAAAAATATGCATTTTTCTTTAAGTGAACTTTTCCTTTAAGTGTTTAACTCTAGTCCATTAGTCTGTGGTAATTGGACCTGTCTGACATATAGATAACCAATAGAGGGAGAGTCTACACATCTGTACATGAAGTATGATCGTGAAAACATGGACCAGCAAGTAAAAACCTGAGCTACATCACAACTGATTTGATGTCAATTTTATAATAATAACTTTAAATGTGTACTTGCTGAAAACACATTTCAGTTTTCTAAAATCAATTATGAGTAAAATATGACAAAATAATTAGTTTTTAAAATGTAAGTTTTTACATATAAATTTAGAGTTTTGGCATTGCTCATTTAAACAAGAACATTGTTCGACGCTAATGCCAGTAAATATTAGAAATGACAAGATTCTAAAATAAGAGTTTTACATGCAGCTTTGGATCTGCCAGAACAAACAGGAAACATTAACTTGGATGACAAATAAAAGTTAAGTTATTCCATTTCAGAGGAGATGTCCATTTAACCCTTCTAGAGTAAAAATAGAATGGGATTTAATAAAACTGCCCTGCTTATGCCTATAGAGTGGGCAGGGGAGCACTATCAGACATCACTGGCTCCTGTTTATGTTGGTATCAAACCTGGCTGAAAAATCCTTGCCTATGAACGACTGGCCAGAGAGAAATTGGTAAAGTTGTAGATTGCCCACAGAAATATCTTTAATTCCCTGTCTGATAGTAAAAGGGTGAAACACATTACAATCAATTATGCAAGAAAAATGTTGAAATCCTAACTGCTGTCCTTTTCTGATGTCCACATCTTTGCCTGGTGACATGAACACTTCCTGCTGGCTGTCTGTTGGTGGGGTCCACACAGGTCCTGAAAACTCCTGTCATGAGAGTAATGATATCACGATAAGCGATAGTGACAGGACTACATAGCAGCTGGTTCATTGATATTTATTAACAAAAGAGGTGCTGTGAAGGGTCACATGATGGTGGATCAGATAATGAACACAAGGCCTTTTGATGGCCTTTAATGCCAACCCAACCAACTGTATACACTTACCTTTCCTTTCCTCTCCACCTCTCAGATCAACCACCAGGATCGAAGGGAAGAGGCACCAGGTATGAAAGGCTCCTTCTCTTCACTCCTGGCAGGTGAATGGAGTCGCAGGAGTAAGAAAGGGATGGTAAATGTGTACAGTTTGTGTGGATGGCATCAAAGTAAAAGTGTTTTTTGCCCTGTATGGTTGAATCGTAGGTTCACTTTGACCAACCTTACAAATGCATACATGTTTTATTGTGTTACAAATTATCCATAAAAACAGCAATACTAAAATAAATAATGGCTGACATACTCTTTAAAGGAAGTACACTCATCTACATATGCATCAACAAGTATCTCCTCTGCTGACCACATGTACAACATGGTCTATATCTGATTACAGCACATTATATAACAGAGAAGAATATGTGGAAGCACGACATATTTCAATCATCAAGATCTTCCTCAGGGGTAGATTGATAGCCTGCAACAAAAGGATGTTTTTTATATATATATATATATATATATATACAGTATATATACGGTATATATATATATATATATATATATATATATATATGTCAGTCTATATATAACACCAAGGTCTGACAATCTGTGACTAATCCCATCAGGGCAGGTAGAGGATGAGACACAGAGATCACCAGGAGTGCCACATAAAAAGTTTCTCTGAATACTATGACCCAGGCAAACCTGATATGGGAGAGAGCTCAAGAATCAACAGAGATGTCCCACATAAGGATATACTATTTATTGTGTGGAGTCCGCATTTAGCGGTATTAGTCTTGGACAAAACCATGTGTCTCAGACAAAGTATCCCTCATATTCAGACATGTTCCTGAGATGGCTACCAGCAGCAGTGATGCTGGAGCATAGCATGCAGACAGCTCATGGGGCCCCCAGGCAATAAGGGCTCATGGGGCCCCTGGGTCCTTGCCCAAACTCAAAAAAGCCTATGAAAAAGGTACCAGGGGCATCTCATGGGGCCCCCTACTGACCCCGGGCCCTCGGGCAGTGCCCGAGTTTCCAAATGGTCAGTCCACCCCTGCGTGCAGAGCAACTTTTTTATGAGGCACTCCCAGTGATCTCTTTGCCTTATTCTCTATCTGCCCTGATGGGATCCATGGCAGGTTGTTGGACCTTGGTTTTATGAATAGGTTGACTTCACATTATATATACATTATATATACATGCCTGCCTTTACACACACATGAACTTTAATGGCATCCCAGTCTTAGTACAATATTGAGTTGGCACTCCCTTTGCAGCTATACCAGCTTCAACTCTTCTGGGAAGGCTGTCCACAAGATTTAGGAGTGTGTCTATGGAAATGTTTGACCATTCTTCCAGAAGCACATTTGTGAGGTTAGGCACTGATGTCGGACAAGAAGGCTTGGCTCGTAGTCTCTGCTCTAATTCATCCTAAAGGTGTTCTATCAGGTTGAAGTCAGGACATTGTGCAGGCCAGTCAGGTTCCTCCACCCCATATTCGATCATCCGTGTCTTTATGGACCTTGCTTTGTGCACTGGTGCGCAGTCATGTTGGAACAGGAAGGGGCCATCCCCAAACTGTTCCCACAAAGTTGGGAGCATGAAATTGTCAAAATGTCTTGGTATGACACATTAAGAGTTCCCTTCACTGGAACTAAGGGGCCAAGCCCAACCCCTGAAAAACAACTCCACAGCATAATCCCCCCTCCACCAAACTTGATACAATGCAGTCAGGCAAGTACTGTTCTCCTGGCAACCGCCAAACCCAGACAGGTCCATCAGATTGCCAGACAGAGAAGCGTGATTCTTCACTCCAGAGAACACGTCTCCACTGCTCTAGAGTCCAGCGGCGGTGAACTTTACACCACTGCATCCGATGCTTTGCTTTGTACTTGGTAATGTAAGGCTTGGATGCAGCTGCTCAGTCATGGAAACCCATTCCATGAAGCTCTCTATACACTGTTCTTGTGCGACTTCTGCACACTGTGCGGTTCAGTATGCATTGACCTAGATCTGTCAATTTAGGTGGCCTACCACTTTATGGCTGAGTTTTCTGTTGTTCCCAGTTGCTTCCACTTTGTTTTAATACCACTAACAGTTGACCGTGGAATATGCAGTAGCAAAGACATTTCATGGATGGACTTATTGAAAAGGTGGCAACCTATCACGGTACCCGAAACGCTTGAATTTACTGAGCTCCTGAGAGCGACCCATTCTTTCAGAAATGTTTGTAGAAGCAGTCTGCATGCCCTGGGGCTTGATTTTATACACCTGTGGCCATGGAGGTGATTGTAACACCTTAAGCCAACGGTTTGGAGGGGTGTCTCAATACTTTTGGCAATATACTGTATATATTGCATCTTTCATATGTTACAGGCTATCTACCCTTGAAGAAGATTTTGGTGCCTGAAACATGCTGGGTTTTCACATACAGTATACGTCTCTCTTTATATAATGTGGTAGATTCTGATATAGACCATGCTGTACATGTGTTCAAAAGAGTAGTTAACTGTCAATGTATATGTAGATGAGTAATCTTTTATTGAAGAGTATGATGTGTGATTTGGGGTGCCCTAAATGTCCTGACTCCTGATGTATGTACAATATTAATTTCTTATCTCCTTTTAGATCACATAAGCTCATGTGTTATAGGTTCCCTTAGGTCATATAAGAAAGATTTTATTCATCACAAGAAACAAAATACATTTTTTATTTAAAATAATAATGCCATTTAGGTTTCCTGGCATGTACTCTGCTGATGCATGCCAAGCATCATTTTTAATTATCCGTCCTTTTTGGACTGTGGCTCCCACCCTCACATTTCTAAGTGCTAGGATACTGGTCGTATTATATTCCACCACTGGTTCTTACAAGGTATCTCTAATTAGTTTGGGCAGAGTTCTGATTGGCAAAAGTAAAGCAGTTCCTAGTGTTTCCACAGATATAAGATTATAGGAACATCTGACCTGTTGCAGTTGAACAAGAAAACCACTTCCGCTGGTACCCTCTGGCTTGGAATTTACAGGAAAATAACTGAATCCCTAGTTAGGGATCTATTCACTTTTGATTTCCTACTGAGAAAAGTCACTGCTAGAGGTATCTGGCCATCTTCGTTCTCCCTCCTCAATAGGTATAATCATTCAGGTGATCTGAGTGTGGAAAAACATTTTGGCTATTAGATTGTATCTGCACAAGGGTCCAAATCCTATTGCCATCTCTATAGTTGAAGATAAGTAGATTTGTAACATATTTTTAGCCAGTTTGATCCCTGAACATGTGATATGCCAGCAATATTTTAGCTTGACATGGATTATGACTTTTTTTAATGCAATGAATATGAGTAGGCAAGTAGGAAGCAAAGAGGTCATCAGGAAAGGTCATTGGCAGTAAAATTTTAGGACTAATACAAGAAAGAATTACAGAACACCTGAGAACTGACATATGTCAGTGAAATGGATAATGCAGCACTCTTCTATTCCACAGGTGGGCTGATTAGACAGAGAAAAGGTCAACCGGTCATTCCCATTGAAGATTGAATCTGCACAGTTTGGATGACCCCTGTGTCTAAGCATACACAAAAACATAAAGTGGTGTGGTCAGAAAGATACAAACATCTCTGCTGAAAATATATTGCAGAATCTACTAACAGATTTCTGCTGCCTTTGAAAGGCAATACTTGCAGAATGACTATAATGTGTAAAGATGGTGTCCCTGGCAGCCTGGTAACCTCTTGATTGGTATGCTAATTTTTTTGGGGGGTGGGGTGTCGGTGACATAAAATACAAGAACAAAGTTTGGCCATGCAGTTTGTACCCATCCCTAATTATAAAACAAAGCTAAAGTACTGTATGTGTGAACCCTCACCTTGTAAAACACCCCATTCAGTTTAAAATAGAAATAAAAGGCAGACCTTTTGTGTATAGATATAAAAACCTCCCTTTCTCAGCTGCACAAAGAGCTTAGAGAACTGGGGGAGGAGAAACAGCATTACCCTGAACTTGCTGGTGAATGGCTGTGCAGGGGTGTGTGTCAGAAGAAGTCTGATCAGTGTAGGAGGGCAGACTGAGTTCTCAACACAGTCAGAAAGCTGACCACGCTGTGTTCTCATGCCTAGTGTGGTCAGTTTTTAATTAGGAAAGCAGAAGGACTGGCAGGAACACCATGGATTTCACACAAAGGAAGCAATACACAGAAAACATTTCCATACACATATATGGTACAGCAGGCACATATCAGGAATATGAAATGTTGGGTTTACATATTCTTAAGGTATCCCCAACCTAAACCCTTTTACGTAACCCTTAACAGTTAATACAATTACACCATTAGTTTGATCCTAACACTAAACCTTTAGAGCTGATTCATGCCTGTGCAGTGCATTTTAGGTGCATTTTACCTGCCTTTGATGTGTGTTACCATTGAACCATATATAACTTACATTTGAAAGAGCATCAAAGATGCAGCAATGATGATTTTTTTCATACTGCACCTAAAGCACACAGGTGTGAACACTTAAAGAGTAAATCCACTTTTGTTGAGAAAAAAAAAACATTTCCTTCTGGGTGATCTATGTGCATTGCAAGGATTCTAACAAACTTTGTTGCACATTCCTGCCTTTTGTTATGCTGGAGTAATATCTGTTTGCTTGTTGGTGTCCATGTGGAAAGTGAATCTGTATGGGAGTTGTTTCATAATTGTCATTCGGCTGCTGCACCTGCAGGGCTCTAATGAGGAAAGCTGCAAGGTCTGGATCTCCTTAGATGTGATTTCCTTTTGGGAATATCTCACCAAAAAGGACATTTTTGTTGCTCACAATTTGATGTGTATCTTAGTGCAGACTGGGAGAATCCAGAAATCAATCACACAAGCAGGAAATAACATATCTAGGGTGTGTACAGAACACCTCCAAGTAGCTGCATTGTATTGCATTTTACAGAAAATGACAGCTCTGCAGATTGAAAAGGAAAGGTTATTTTTAATAAAGTTCAATTACAATATGACTTCCATGCCCATCTTTCCAGCCAGTGTTTAAAAGAAAAAAAAAAAAAAAAACAGGCTAGGTTGCATATACTCGGCTCCTGTTGTCTCCCAGTCTTCCACAAACTTTATTGCACATTCCTACCTTTTATTATGCTGGAGTAATATCTGTTTGCTTGTTGGTGTCCATGTGGAAAGTGAATCTGTATGGGAGTTGTTTCATAATTGTCTTTCTGCTGCTGCACCTGCAGGGCTCTAATGAGGAAAGCTGCAAGGTCTGGATCTCCTTAGATTTGATTTCCTTTTGGGAATATCTCACCAAAAATGACATTTTTGTTGCTCAAAATTTGATGTGTATCTTAGTGCAGACTGGGAGAATCCAGAAATCAATCACACAAGCAGGAAATAAAATATCTAGGGTGTGTACAGAACACCTCCAAGTAGCTGCATTGTATTGCATTTTACAGAAAATGACAGCTCTGCAGATTGAAAAGGAAAGGTTATTTTTAATAAAGTTCAATTTCAGTATGACTTCCATGCCCATCTTCCCAGCCAGTGTTTAAAAGAAAAAAAAAACAGCCTAGGTTGCAATACTCGGCTCCTGTTGTCTCCCAGTCTTCCACAATATTCTGGGTTTAGTAATGCCTAGCATCATATAATGGGAATACATTTACTACAGAATACTGAGGACATACTGTCATTGTCCTGGACTTCATGAAGTAGTGATTCCTTGGTGTTCTGCATTCACAAGGTAATGATGTACTGCAGTGGGTCTAATGTCATCACATCAGCATCATTGTGACTTCTGGAAATCCTTGGTTGTCATCAGGGCCAGCGGAACTAGTGCCCCCATTGGAAGATATCCCTGTGAACCCTGTTCTGGTGACATCACAAAATTTGGGATTTTCTTTTACTTTCACTTTTGGTTATAATGGCAAACAGGACAAATAGAGAGGGTGAATCTTCACAACCAGACAGGTGTTCTGATCCATCTCCACTCTATCCAAACCTGAAAAAAAAGTTTTACCTTTAGTTATAATTTAAGAGAAGAGGTGACTATGGGAGTAATTTACTAAAACTGCATGGTGCAAAATGTGGTGCAGCTCTGCATAGAAAACCAGTCAGCCTCCAGGTTTTATTGTCAACGCTTAATTGAACAAGCTGAAGTTAGAACCTGATTGGCTACCATGCAGAGCTGCACCAGATTCTGAGTGCTTCAGTTTAAGCCCTGGTTCACATACAGGTGAAACTCGAAAAATTAGAATATCGTGCAAAAGTTCATTTATTTCAGTAATGCAACTTAAATGGTGACAGTAATATATGAGATAGACTCATTACATGCAGAGCAAGATAGTTCAAGCCGTGATTTGTCATCATTGTGATGATTATGGCTTACAGCTCATGAAAACTCAAAATCCACAATCTCAGAAAATTAGAATATTACATGCAATCAATAAAACAAGGATTGTACATAGAATAATATCAGACCTCTGAAAAGTATAAGCATGCATATGTACTCAGTATTTGGTTTGGGTCCCTTTTGCAGCAATTACTGCCTCAATGCGGTGTGCCATGGAAGCTATCAGCCTGTGGCACTGCTGAGGTGTTATGGAAGACCAGGATGCTTCAAATAGCGGCCTTCAGCTCTTCTGCATTGTTCGGTCTCATGTCTCTCATCTTTCTCTTGGCAATGCCCCATAGATTCTCTATGGGGTTCAGGTCAGTCGAGTTTGCTGGCCAATCAAGCACAGTAATCCCACGGTCATTGAATCAGGTTTTGGTGCTTTTGGCAGTGTGGGCAGGTGCCAAGTCCTGCTGGAAAATGAAGTCAGCATCCCCATATAAAGCTCATCTGCGGAAGGAAGCATGAAGTGCTCCACAATCTCCTGGTAGATGGCTGCGTTGACCCTGGACTTAATGAAGCACAGTGGACCAACACCAGCAGATGACAGGACCAACCCAAATCAACACAGACTGTGGAAACTTCACACACTGGACTTCAAGCATCTTGCAGTGTGTGCCTCTCCATTCTTCCTCCATACTGTGGGTCCTTGGTTTCAAATGAGATGCCAAAGTTGCTCTCATCAGAAAAGAGGACTTTGGACCACTGAGCAACAGACCAGGTCTGTTTTTCTTTAACCCAGGTAAGACGCTTCTGACGTTGTTTGTTGTTCAGGGAGCGGTTTGACAAGAGTAATATGACATTTGAAGCCCATGTTCAGGATCCGTCTGTGTGTGGTGGCTCTTGATGCACTGACTCCAGCCTCAGTCCATTCCTTGTTTAAGTCCCCAACACTTTTGAATAGCCTTTTCCTGACAATCCTCTCCAGGCTGCAGTCATCCCTGCTGCTTGTGCACCTTTTTCTTCTACACT